GAGCATTTACAACAACCTTGTCCACTGCAAGCTTCATATCAGCAGCATCATAGCATTTTTTCTGTATCTGTAAGCTTACAGGACGGCTTGTAATTTGTGAGACGATAAGTGAACTTTTTTTTTCGCTCAGCGAGGTAAATGTAATCAATATTCTTTGTTTTTAATCAATTTTTTTCTTAACTGGAGCCTTTGCTAACTGAGGTTCTACTGTAAGTGTGCTTTCCAGGGTGTCCCGAATAGCCCCGGGGGGGGGGTGTCCCGAGTAGCCCCGCCGTGCGGAAATGGCCGCCATTTTTTTTTGTAATGAGACAGGCAAAATCTGTCAATTACGTTTTCAAGCCCACATCTGGGTGCAGCTTTTATGTAAGTAAAATTTTTTAATATGGCAAATATTTTTTTTGCTACAGACCTTAGCAGAAGTAACTTTTCAAAATAGCATTTTTCACCATTTTTTTCAGGAATTTTTCAAAGCTAGTAAATGTCGTATTTTCGACTTCCTTTATACTACATAGATAGGAAAAATGTTGTTGTTAAGGCCACTATATTTAGTTTAGCAATATTCCAATTAGTTTCGCTACTATGACTGTTTTACGACGTGTCAGAGGTGCGTCCCGAGTTGCCCCGCCAGTCCTGAGTAGCCCTGGTTGACAGTACCAGATGCAAAATAAAAGCATCCCGAATTACCCCTAGCAACAGGGTAATTACGGACACTTGAAATAAAACTCCATTTTAAAACGTTTGAAGCATGCAAAGTGTACTCATCCATTACTAACATTACTCTGAAGTCCTCCTCTTCCTTTATAGATGATGTAGATGTAGAATAAATTAATTTTCTGTAATTTTTACTTATTTTTCCTTTATTGATATCATATTACCATATCCATACATTATTGTATTATTGATGTGATATTACCATATCCATGTACATGCATGCCATTGTGCATTTACAACAACCTTGTCCACTGCAAGCTTCCTATCAGCAGCCATGTAGCATTTCTTCTGTATCTGTAAGCTTACAACATGGCTTGTAATTTCTCACCATTTTAATTGGGTCAAGTGAATTCACTATAACAAAAAAAGATCGTTAAAACATACATGAAACAGAAAGGAATATTTTAGTGACAACCATCATATTTATTGGAGAAATAAATCATATTCTTGGTTAATTACTTTTCACTCCATGTTGCCCTGTGCACAATTCCATCTATGACATTCTATGCACAATTTTGTGATGGCTGATGATGCATTAATTTTTCGTTCAGTGAAATTGTTTTTGCTAAGCAAGGTGAATGTCATCAAAATTTTTTTTTCTTAATTGATTTTTTGGCTAACTTGAGCCTTTGCTGGCGTTTTTAGGGGGTGTCCCTTATTACCCTTTGGACCTGGGGGGTCCAAAGAAGAAATGGCCACAATTTTTTTTAATGAGATAGGCAAATTCAGTTAATTGCATTTTTAGCCAACAGCTGTGTGCAACTTTTATGTAAGTAAAATTTTTCAATACAGCAAATATTTTTTTCTTTTGCTGCAGACCTTAGCAGAGGTACTTTTTCAAAATCGCACTTTTCACACTTTTTCAGGGATTTTTTAAAGGTAGTAAATGTATGATTTCCTAACTTGCTTTATGCTACATAGATAGTAAAAATGTTTAACTTTATGCCACTATTTTTAGGTTTGCAATATTTTGATTGGTTTAGCTGTTAAAACATTTCTACAAAATATGAGATGACTGTCCCAATTTACCTGGCCTGTCCCTTATTACTGCATTTGATGGTATTATTATTTTTGTTCATAATTTTGTCTTTGCTGCTAATAGTTTAACAAGCTCACAAGTCCTCTCTTAGTCTCTTTCAGGGGCTTACTTTTTTATATCTAAGGTTGTGAAGACACAAAGTCAAGTTAAAATTATTTTTTGCTACTCAGTTAATAGTTATCATTTCATTAATTGAAATGTGTAATCAATCAACTTATGTCAAAGATCTTCTTCTAACTAGGCTGTCAGGAACAGCAGCTCCAGCTCCAGTTTTGCCTGCTGAGCAGAAAGAAACCATCCAGTCGATGGTAAGAAGGAGAATTATAGGATTAGATCGAAGCTCAATGAAAAGCATTTTGCATAATCAGAACAAATCAAGCTTTTCTTCTTCTAAAAATTTCACTAATAAAAGATTCAGAAAGACCAATACACCAGAAGATCTGAAATTAAAAACGGCTCTCAAGCAGTTTCAGCTGGCAAAACTTGAGGAAAAACATGCCAAAGCAAATTCAATTCAACAAAATCCTCTTTTATATGATGAAAAATTACTTCAAGTCAAGAAGAAGCTACTAGAAGAGAAAAAAATTGAAAGCACTCGACTAAAGCAATCTTCTCAAGAAGAAGCCTTAAGATCACAAGTGAAGTATTCTGAATGGAAAAAGAGACAAGAGATAAAAACTATTGTGCAAGTGGCGAAAAATTCTCAAGAAAAATTCATTGAAAAATTTGAATTCCCTTCTAATGAACAGAAAATTCAAAAACCTCTTACATGCAGCATTCCAGAAAAATATAATTTTACACAAGTTTATGAACATGCAAATGAAAATTTCTGCCAAAGTGCAAATAAATCCACAGCTTTATGGCCTGCAGATCAGCTTCCAAGTGCACCAAGTAGTAGAACAATTCTGCATGAACCTGGACATGACTGCCAAACCATTTGCATAAATGAACAATCTCTCCCAGCTCGTTTTCAGAGATCATCACCCACTCAACTTGACTGCAGTGTTCAAAGTTCTACTAATCATTCAATTAAAATAAATGAGCACCATCATAAATCAGGGCCTCTTCACACTGACAAGGAAACCCTCCCAGTATTCTTTGAGAAAGTTCCTCCTAAAGAGACAGTAAGTTGGTGAAATAAAGAGCTACCCAAGTTGGCTTAGTTTACTGAAATTATATTGTTTTCATATCAGTTTCATTCTCAATGAAGAACAGATGTAATATTCAAGGCATGTAATAGATGCCATTACACAATAAAAATTTTTTAAACCACACAATTAAAAGTATTCATTATTGTGCAGGCGAGAAATGGAAGGGAAAATCATACAAATCCATTTGATGATTTACTGGAAGAAAATGGTAAGATATTCTAATTGACTGAAGCAGCATAAGGATTTGATGGTATACCGTAAATCAGTCATGCTACTGAAATGAAATAAATTCGCTGTTATGGCTTCATTCTGCAAACCTTTTTTTTTCTGCAGATGCATTTGCGCTCCTGCTTGATATGATGGATGGATTTCCTGCCAACAGTGAAGGTACGGCACAGCTTGAGCCTATGACTTGTTCTATGTTAACTCTTACAAATTAGTTTCCCTCCAACTCATTTTTAAAATTATTTTTGTGCACAATATATCAAAGTACCTACTGCATAGCTTGTTGCCCTTCACTAAAGAGTTATTAGCAAAGGGCAATATTCATTATGGACCATGATGTTCTTTATTAAAATTCTTCTGGTGGAAGTTTCAAGCATCACTGCTAGAAAGCCTCCTAGTTAAGTTATCTATGGAAGCGTTTGTTACACCAGAGAGATTTCCCCTTGTATTGGCTCTCAGCATAGCTATTGATCCTGTAAAGGTTTTTCCCATAGGCTAACTGATTTTTTTTTATGTTGTGACAATTTTTTTAGATTATGTGATCCCAAACCTGACATTGTTATTTGTAACTTACATTTACAACAGATATCTGTATAATTTTTTCTTTAACTGTTTTCTAGGCGCTACTGCTCTGCGTGTTCTGTGCTCTCAAGACCATGCAACTAGGTCGAGCTTACTCTGTAATAAGACTCTACACTGGACTCCTGCAGGCAGGATGATCCTGCAAATTTATCAACAGGTACCTAGCATGTCCCACTCTCATTGAAAGCCACATTTGTTTGAAGACAGCAAATTCTCTGATGTAGAATGTCCTTCAAGGTTTTATATGGAAGCTTCATTTTCAACATTGAAATTTAAATCATTTGTATTTTTCAGCAGGATGAACCGCTCCTACCTGCGCCAGTACGTCGCTCTTTTGAGAATCGTGCTCGAAACGATCATCGCGACTCGAATCAGGATGAAAATACATTGAATTGCGAGCTAAAGAGCTCACAGACGCTTGAGACTCAAGGTAGCCTGGCTTCTAACGTCGTGAATTCTAGCTCGAGCGGCTGCACTCGCGTTGAGACAGCTGCTAGCTTTCCAAATGGAATTGAAAATCACACAGTTCAAAACTATAGATACTCGTCTGACTTCAGTAACGTCCCTATCGATTTGATAGAATGTGGATCGGCTGGTAATTCTCATCCACTAGATGGAACTGTTTCTATGGATTTCGTTGCTGACCAAATAGACTTTCCTGTTGAATATGAGGCTGCTGTTCGGGAGCTACCAATCGTGCTTGGAAGCAATAATAGTTCTCAATTAAATTCCGAATGTCGTGACGAAATTGGGGATGGTCAAAACTATAACGACCCCCCAAAAGACAACTGGGGAAATAACTGTGATCATCTTTCACTTCCTAGTCCACAGCCCTATTTAGCATCATCAGAAAACGTTTTCTCGAATTCATTTAAAAACTTTGATGCGTTCAATGGGGCGAGTTCAAATTTGATCATGAATCATAGCCTTTCTAACGGATTCGTTGCCATTCACGATGATCATCAGTTTAAGTGCTCAAATGTGAGTGATGGCTTAATCAATGAAGAAATTTGCGCAGATCAATTATCTGTGCAAAACACTGGATTTAGTTATCACTGTCCTACCACTCATGCAAAGCAATCGAGTTGTCTTTGTGGAAGCTTGTGCGGATCGAATGGCCGCTGCAAATATTTCAGTGGCAACACCGAAGCTTATGTACCTCATGCAACTGATTCCTTACCTATAGTCGCTCCTAGTCAAACTCGCTCAAAGCTTACGCCTTCTCGAAATGATTCATTTTCATTCAATGGTGGAGAGGGTTCACGAAACCAAATAACAGCTCCCGAGATTTCTACGACCTCATCTTCATTTGCTACGTCTCGGCGCATCGCGCAGTCTCAGCTGTCGTCCCAGTCTCAGACGAATGGACCATCTAGTCGTCAGCACCTAATACCCAGTAACTGCTCCACTCGAGGTGATTATTTCCTACCAACGTTCTCGGATAAGAATTTAATTGGATCCCCTAGACCAAATTATTATTTTAATTCGCCAAGAATCAGTGCCTCTCCTGGATCCACTTATTCGAGTTCGCCATGCACCTCGTCGACTTCGCTAATCGCGTGCGAAGCTTGCGACATGCTCGAGCCCCAGGACACCTGCCAGAGCAACCAACTCACACAGGATGAGTTTGAAGCCATAAACGGTAAGGATATTTTCACACAATTAAAAAAATGTTGAATTTGTTGATGTTGTTTGTACTGCAATTAAAATAACATTTAACAATCGGTTAAGTGGTAGATTTATCGCCTTTGTTCTCTCTAATTGCTACAATATTGTGATGTGTTTCTGTGATGTGCCTACAGGCGATGGGTCGGGACCCATCATGATGCAGGTGCTGCCGTAGCTGCAAGCGATTGGCGTTCGTTTCATATTCTCAACATTGAACTTCTTGTGATAACATCTTGGTTCCTCGTGCGTCAATTAACCATTGTAACATACAAATATTTATACTCTCGGGTTTCAAATTTGCCTCAGAATCTAATATTATGGCACTAGTTTAACCTTAAGACGGTTAACCATTGTTGAAAATCGTGTAAGAAGCTTGAAGAAAGAGTGTTGAAATCACATGGTATTTACTGCAAAGTTATCCGTTTGTCCTCAAGATATTTTTGTAGCGAAGGTAGATTTATTCAATAGAAGGCTCCATCAGTTAACTCTCCAGAAATTGTTAAATTATCGACCTTATCTCTAAGTATAAAAACTGTAGACCCTAATTAATCATCAAGGTCCGTATGTTCAACATATTCTTCATATAACGTTTCGAAATGAGTTGTCAAGCTTCTTTTGCTCATTTCTCACCCACCTCTAATTTTATTCTATTTTCAGTCAAAAAACTTGATCTAAGCTTTAAATACCTTCTGCGTTTTCTAAAATGAGAAATAGATACATGAATAAATTTCAAATCTCTGTCGTGTTTGTCGGTATTCCCGCTTCTCAAATTCATGGCAGCTTAATTTATCTAATAAATATATATTAGTTATCATCTATTACTTCTTGTTATATATTCTTCCCAGTAGAACTTCAGGGAAGAAAAACTTCAGTTGTTCCTCCCGCGTACAATCGTCCTTCAGTGCCGTCTTCACCCTGGAATATTTGTTTGTGTCTATTTTGAATGAAGGAAGTACCGCCAATGTTTGCATATGCAGAAAGTACTCTTCATTACTTCCATTGAATAAAGGCTAACAATGCACCTTTTATTCGCAGTTTTACTTATAAACGTAGCGGGAAGCTATCCTGATCTGATATTATTGAAGCTTTTCGAGCAGGATTTATAACGACATGTGACGTTTTATCTATAAAAAACATCCAATCCTAATATATCTTAGATTTCCAAGGAATCAATTACTGGACATTTTTGAACATGCATGATCGGAGGAAATGATTCAACCTCTCAAGGCAAGAAGTGTCTTAGGAATTCAAAACATTTTGTAGCTTTTCGATGAGCACAGAAAAATTTAACCGAAATTGCAAAAATACTTTGGAAATATCAAACCCTGTACTATCCTGTGAGCGCATTCATCGTAAGAAACATTAGTTCAGCGTATCCTGGCCATTTGAAATATTCGGCTTATCACTCGCCTTTATTTTTAGACTTGCCTTTACAATTTTGAAGTAGGCCAACTTTCTGGTGCTGCTGCATGTATGCGACGATGACTCAGTTGCATGACACCCTCAGCTCAATTACCGTCGAGAAATTTCGCTGAGCGTGGCTGCGGCCTCTCTCGTTGATTGACTGCCCCTGGCTAGCGCTGAAGACTAATCGATGTTGACGCTCTAGAAAATGACTTTGCTGAGGCTTCAAAGAAGCAGGACTTTTTTATTGGCTTGATTCGATCATTGAATTGTTCGATGGATCAGTGATGCTTTGGCATCGATTGAGGATTTCTATGCCTGTAATGCTCAAGTGATTTTTCGTTCTAAATTTTAGACGGAATACTTAGTTGCTGTCAGATATAATGGTTAGAAATTTTGGAACAACGGACATTTTTACTGCGTTAAATTATATCGATGACTTGGGGAATAAATAGAAATCTTAGCCGAGACATATAACAGAACTGCGACATCGTAGCCGGGTTGAGTGTTCTTAGTCTTGGCACGAGGCGCACAATATCCTAACCCGTAGTTCAATCTTCTACTCGCTCTTCATCGCGTCAAAATCAGTAGGTATTATGGTAATACAGGTCAGACTATCATTCGAATACGTTAATATGAGATTACGATATTTGTTGTATTCCTGAATGATTAAAAATAGTTATGCCACCATCGTGAATAGTTTATTATGTAGGATTTAAAGATTATGCCATTTTTAGTCTGTTGCCGAACCATGTTTAGTTGGAAAACTCCCTGATAAGATATCCGAGACTATATTATTCATTTATGATATCGTATTTACCCGAAAGAAGAAAATTGTTTTAAGTCCCTGCATTTTTTTATAGAAAAATAAACGCTAAGCATGGGATGACTGTGCAAAACATCTAATATATCTTAAGTACCGTAGCGATCTTTGCAGCTGCCTTAGCGAGGTAGCAAGTGATTATGAGCACTTAGGTTAGAGTAGTGAGTCGTGGGTTCGCTCCCCAACTAGCTGTGAAAATTTTGAGTAGTCCAGAAAGAGCTACAAGCCAGACTTAGCCTAGCCTTTGGAACAATAATTTGTTCAAAGGCGAAATTATTGTGCCAAAATTCACAATGGTGTTCGAAGTAAGTTCTATAAATTTTGGATCACATCTGTTTATGTCGAACTTTTAAAAATTGATGGTTTCACATAAACAGACGTGATCACACTTCGCCGAGGTAATTCACACACTTCGACTTAACTGCTTCTTGCCTGCCAAAGTTTGACCCGATGACGCGGCTGTTCCTGTTCACCGTAGCTGTGTGCTGCTCATGCGCGAACTCACTGCCCACCACGGATGTCGATGGAACGACTTCTACATTCTCCCGTTCATCCCTAGGTAAGTTTTGTGGTTTTTGCTCGCCAAATGAACATCGTATGTACGCTGATAGTATATAACAAAATTCATAGTAACATATATTATGAAAAACCACTTATTATCAGAACGTTTATGAATTCTATGAAATTGAAATATTAAAATTCTCTCATCAGGCCTTGCAACGGCAATAATATTAGGCCGAACCTATGATAATGTATACTTATTTTTCCAAATTATTTGATTGCGAAAAGCAATGATAATGATATAAACAAATTTACAAATAAAAAATTCGCGTGGAATAATTTCGTACATGAAAGCCGATAATGATAAAAATAGCAATTCAATTGTCGCAAAAGAAGCAGTTACAGAATTTTCAAACGAAATTCCTACCGAGGCCCCTTGCCCTTAACAGAGCAGTGGATTGAGTTCTGCCCCGATGTGTTGGCGCTGGGCGACGAAAGCTCAGGAAGCGACAATCAGCGTGAGTGGATTTCAATTTTGGCAGCTGTTTCCAAATGCTGCTCTGCTCTTCCAAACACCTCCAAAAATACGGTTCCTAACGGTGACATTGTTGCCAACGGGCGCATTGAAAATAACGAAATAAATATATTTATTTTACAGCCAGCAATCGGAGAAAGCGTTAGGTCTATTTGCTTTCTTTACCAACAACTGCCGCGCATGCAGGGCACTAGGCGATCTGTGGACGTGGAAGAGATCGAGATATCCAGCCATGAAGTGAAGGGTTCAGATGTCATATTACCTGAAGATGATAAAGTTTTGTCCGTGGAAGTGACAACGGAAGTCATCGACGACATGGCATCGAAATTACTCCAAGAAAAAACTACAAATTTGAACGAATCTTGGGAATTGACAGAAGCTGACTTGAAAACTGCTAGTAAAGGGTCACTGGAGTCTCATTTATTATTCCTGCAAAAATTAAAAGTAAAGCTACTCTTTGAAATTTTTGGTTTTAAGAAACGTTTGATCAAAATGGTGGTTTCTTGAAATTGTGGATCATCAATCAGTTTCAATGTAAAACCTTAAATTCAAAACGCGACTTTTTTTGTAGTGAATATAGGGGCAATAATTGTTGTTTTTTACTAGTACATGATATTTTAATTTGATCAGACCTCTAAATGAAATTGCCTTTATAGACTCAACTAGTAATAACTGTTCCACACCTTGAATAGCCACCTTGAATCGTATCATGCAACTGGACGAAATTATACAGTTATTAGAGCTGACAATTTTAACTACTTTCCGACGTTTTCCATTTTGACGAGTTGTCATAAATTTGTAATACTTTTTTTCATTACTCATAGATTAGAATTTATGTACGCCATTATAAGTTTTTCGCTCGCACTTTATTTCCTATTCTAATGTGCAGAACAATATTCGATATTTTGTTATGACCTCTGCATCTATTCCCCCCATAAAAAAATTCCGGTTATTTCATATCTCTAACTTCCCTCTATTTTCTGGGGTAAGTTCAATTCCGAGATTATTTTATCATATGTCGATTTCATCGTAACGTATTTCGAATTTCTGTCGAATCATAGTTGCGTAAACATTTCCCGTGTGATTCTTATTTGTTATTGCGTGTCTACAATAACGACGGAACAACCATGAGCAATGATCATTTCCAATGTACAACCTAATAACGAGGTAACAATAACCAATCTGCAATCTTCCAATAACGAGAAGTGAAGTTCATTGCAGTTCGCGATAACTTATTGTCACTTAACTCCTACGTGCGTCATCGTTTGCAACTCGTCGTTCATCGTTTCGTGCATACACGTACTAGTGCAGTAATTTCCCTACTTCTAATGAATATTGGCGGCTTCGTGGTCTCCGGGACTTGCTCTCGAATCATTATGTTATCCATTTTGGAATATCGAAACTTTTTCCTAAACACTATTTTCACAAATCACATTTTTAGTTTAAATTCCTCGTGAAGAATTTTGCGTTGCCTCAAAATAAAATATATTGATAGTGCTTAATTTTTTCTATACAGTTCCCATACTACGCGGATATTATGAGTGCGGAATCATTTTATTGTATTCATTTCCCGTGAATTCAGCAGAAGACTATTGCGACAAGCAAGGCTCACTCAAACATGTGGCTCACCGATGCTCGACTTCACACTTTATTTCTATGTTGGTTGTAGAACATTGGCCCACGCAAACGATTCATTAACATTAATGGCAAAAATGTAAATGAGGGCAGAAAATCTTACGAATTTGTAAATACTGACTTAAGAGGTAGGGGAATTTTTCTCTCTAACTTGACGATACACTTGAATATTTTCAGGCATTTTAACCCGTGGTTGTTTGAAATAAGACACTCAGAAAACACTATTCAACGTTCAGGGTGTGGTATTATCGCGATATATAAAGCCTTTCCTCCCAGAGTCGTACTAGCATAAATTCACGGAGTATATTTCGGAGTCACATCACTGGAAGGAAATATTTGGACGCTTGGCGCGAAATACAAAACATTAAGTTTCCGTGAATCACCCTGTATCATATGAGCGATTTCGAATTACTTACTTCGATATGGGCTTGCTGAAACTTACGTAGAATTTCATCAGACCTGTCCGAGAGGAGTTTGTGGGCGCAAATCCTCACGTGTTTACCAGCAGACTTATTAGCTCCGAGTTCACTGTCACCGAGAGCTTGACTCAGACGCTAAGTCGACAGCTTATATAGCATATGTGTCACGAGGACAAGAACCCGGTGGACGGAGGTACGAGGTATATAATTGGTCTGGGAGCCTTAGTATAGCCCCCAGTAACTAACAAGCACGCCGCAATGTAACTCTCGTGAGAGTTACTCCGACCTAACGGTCGACATCTTAGCCCTATACCACTAATATAAGTCTTGTGTATACCCACACAGTATCAAGATATGTTCTCTGGACAGATGGTGTCTTACTCATCACTCACGCACTTAGTCAACGAATCCATGTACTCAGGTTTAGGTAGAAATATTTTATAAGTCCGGAGGCGCATAAACGCGCCTCCGGACACTTCCATGAACCAGAGGAGTCTGTACGAAATGAGGACAGCACGAATGCGTCTTCGTACTCATGCTACTAAGTGACTACTGCTTAGAAGGGTTCAGGTGGAAATATCTAATCAGTCAGGTTGCGCTTAATATTGCCGCCTGACAGACCTGTGCCAGCGATATGACCATAATGGGACAAACAATTATGTCGATTTTATGCACCAAGTAACACAATTTTTTTAGCCTGCTTCAAGATTTTATACACATTGCATCTCGCGCTCAGAAAACACCCGAAGAAAAACAAAATCAAATGAAATTTAGCACGTAATCATAATCACCATCCACAGATGTTTAGGCCGTGCGATAGTTCCTAACATCGGCTTCGTTCGCAAGCAGATATTTGCAGGGTACGTACACATCCTATAGTCCTAGAGAGCGCCGACAAAGAGCTTTCATTGCGATGCAGGCCTCACTTGAAGTTACAGATTTACGAGACGATATTGATAGCAGTAAACTAATCGGTACACACAGCTTGGCACCATTCCGCAATGTAAAATTGCTTCAAATGAATGAAAAACACAAAAGTAAGAGGTTCTAATATACGCTTTTGTAGGTAGAGCATCGGTTTGATGCATGTTAATGCAAGATGTACCATTTTTTTGATCTCCCAATGTTGGCCGAAACTTTCACACGTTTGTCATTTCAGCGGCTGCACTACCTATAAATGAATAGTTTCAATCTTATTTCAAATTTTTTTGTGCACAAAAAGCCTGATATATATACACGAGTTATTCAGCCACAATCTCTACAGTCTCAACAAAGGAAGCAAGTCAGCAATTTGCACAAATGACAGTTCAATTACATCTTTCGAGAACAAATTCCGGCGGGAAGGCAATCCTAAAAATTAGAATGCGGCATTTAATGACGAATTTGTGCTGTTTAATCGGATTGAAATACGAATTACTGTTAATATATTGCAAAATTATGTTTGGTTGACAACGCATTGACATGAATGTGGTACAAGCCAAAACTCTGAAACATTTGTAAATAGCTAATGACGGCCCAAAAATGTATACTTATGAAGTGACACAAATGTTCTCATTTACTGGGGCATTTTAACACCTAAATCTTCGTCAGTCTCAATTCCAATATCTTCGTATAGCTCTTTCTTAGATTTAGGATATCCTTCAAGTATTGCATCGAGCACTTCACGGGCAATACGCTTGCGTCGGCGCCACTGCAAGACCGCCTCAGAGCGGCGTCGCTCCAGCCGTTGCCGCTCCTCCTTTGATATCGGTGACTGCTGGGTCTTGAGAGGCACGAGTCGGCTTTCCATAGCCTCATTTTGTTGTCTCAACTGCGCATCAGGAAAATATGCTTCCAGCTAAAAAATTGCCTGATATTTAATGTACGTGTTCATCATTGAAGTTGAAAGCAGAGCATCAGAACAAAATAATCTTCAATTACTTACTAATAATTTTTAAAATAATTCAGCAATAATTAAAAAGCACTTTGAGTAAATACAGCATGCCTACATCACGTTATTTAAATTACTATGGCTGAACCTGTGAAATTTGTGCAATAACTTCTTTTGTGGTGAGTGTAGAAGAGATTGCTTTGAGAGCAGCCTCAGCCTGCTGCACTGCCTGCTTCTGGCCATCTACAGATTCTGTCAGCTCTGCTACCCTCTGCTCTAGAGCTCTGAGAAAACATGTGTAAGAAAATTTCATGGAGCAAAACAAATTGCATTTTAACATTTTTTTCATGCCAACTAAAGCACATAATTTTTGTTACAGTTATTCCTTTCTAACAACTGGAGCAGTGGCTTATAATTACTTAATATGATGATTTCTGAAATTTAATAACCTAGCTTGGTAATGTTTATTGTTATAAGATCAATTTAAATTTTATACCATGAAATGCAATTTATAATTCACAAATAAATTACCCAATTTTGCCACTAGAGCCATGATAAGCAATACAAAGCAAATAGAACACAGAACAAACAAATATATGTACTATGACAAAATGGTGGTGAATAAACTTACTTGAGAGCTTGTTCATCCACAGCAGGGAAACGAGATTGGTCAGCAACATAAACTTTTTGTTTGCCATAGAGCTTTTCTTTCACTTCACCAGACTGAAAGATAAATAGAAATAATTATTGAAAACTTTCTATTTAATTAAACTTTTTATTTAATCTAAGGAGTTCCTATTCAGAAATTTTAGTAAGGTTTGAAAAATCTGGTCATGCAAAAAATATAGACATGACTAATACAAGAATAAATAAATATATAAATGAATGATTTTAATAATTTAATTCAAGTAAGAGTTTTGAATTGAAACTAGATTATATAAGAAAAAATGAAAAAGCATAATCAAAGTCAGGGAAGTTTCAATTGAGCTTAAATGAGTGATGCAAATCATAAAATAATAAGTAAATGTTTTACATACAAATAACAACTTACAGCAACTAGTTGATCCAAGCATTTTTGAAGTGCAGTTTTTCCTATATCCTTGTGGAGGTTCAGAAATATATCATTGAGACTATAGGGTCTGTTTTGTAATTCTAGATATTCCAAGACCCTGGTCATTTCATTGGGCTTTTTGCTCATTTTGAATTTGTAAAAATAGATTGGACAACTTGACAATTGTTTGAGAAATATCTTAGATTTCTTCAAATATATAGAACAAATTTCAGCCTGTTTGACAGAAAATTATTATTGAAGAGGAAACCTTGTTTTTCTGTTCCTAAATATTTACCTATATATAACGTTTGTATTTTCTCCCAACTTCAGAACAAGAGTTATGTCAGAGTCAGACTGTCTGTCACTTCTCCAAGTTTTCAAATAATTAGGCTATTCCATTGACCTATTCTTTTCCATATTCATGAACCAACCAGACTGAAGAAAATCTGCTTTACAACTCCAATCAACAACTACAGTAGAATTCTTTAAGCCATGACCAATAGAACAGAATAGAATAGAAATGTCAGCGCTGAAGAAATAGGCCCATGGCCTGCTGCTGATTCTTGTAATTTTTGTGACTTGATTCCACAAATGAATTCAGCCTTTTGAACCCAATCTTTCCATAACTGACAATTGATTGAGATGGCTGCTGGACTTATTGCAAGGCTCATAAGATGCTAGGCATTTCAAGACTGAACATATGCTCCTGCATAGCTTCGTCTAGTGCTAGTCTGTTTTTGAAGGCATTCATTCCTTGGAGCATCAACAATGCTTTCAGGGAGGCTGTTCCACATGTCGGTGACTCAAAGCGAGAAGAAATGTTGCCACATTGAAGTATTACATTGCAATTTTTTTAGTTTATAGCCATGGCTCCTGGTGTTGGTTCTTGTTTCAAATTCTAGTAATTCTTTTGGGACTTTGTATAAACTGTGGGTATACCGTCAAACAGGGTAAAAAGGGATGGGTGGGGTTATAAGGGACAGTCTTCCAACATTTTGCAGAAATGTTGTATCAGCTAAACTAATTAGAATATTGCAAAACTAAAAATAGTGGTGTTAAGTTCAACATTTTTACTATCTATCATTCTATGCAGCATAAAGCAAGTTGAGAAATCATACATTTATTACATGTAAAAAATTGCTGAAAAAAGTGTAAAAAGTGAGATTTTGGAAAAGTACTTCTGCTATGGTCTGTAGCAGAAAAAATATTTGTCATATTGAAAAATTTTACTCACATAAAAGTTGCACACTAGTGTTGGCTTAAAAACGTGATGGACACTTGACAGAATTTGCATATATTATTCAAAAAAAAAAAATGGTGGCCATTTCTGCAAAACAGGGTAATAAGGGAGACCCCTAAAATTGCATTTACAGTAGAACCTTGGTTAGCAAAGGCTCCAGTTAATAAAAAAATCAATTAACAACAAATAATTTTGATTACATTCACCTGCCTGGCAGCCTGAGGCCCTGAGCACAGTGAGCACTGAGCAGTGGCCAGGGCTGCCAGGACAGTACTGCCACAGACCACAGTAGCCACCACCAATCCACCAATTGAACAGTCAATAACCTACTACTAATTTTTCAATACCTACCTAAATTATAAATAAATAGGTAAAAATTTCTTATTTCGTTCACATAAAAAAAATATTACACATTTCATCTAGCCTACCACCCTAACCTACAGCCTACACAAACACAAACACTCTGAAAATGAAAAGTGCATAATTGTGCATTGATGTATTTTCTATCTATATTTAGCACATTTTCTCATTTATGGAAAAAATGCACTATTGTGCTTGCCATGTCCATCTGTCTGTCCGTACTCCGTCCATGACCTCAAGTTTTCATCGACAAGAAAATGCGCTCTTTCCTCTTTGTCACTCACTGCAGTGAGTACTGAGTTATATTTTTTTAATTAATTCAATTCTGACAAAGTTGACATAGTGACTGACCACAAGTCTCACGACTCACTCTCCAATAACAGATTATTCTTTACGAGAAACACCCTAACACCATCAAACATTATTTTAAACGTCATTGGTTGAATCATCGTCAACTGAATATTCTTTCAACGTTATGTATGTGGTTGGCATTGCCGCATTGGACTTAATGAATTTGATTGTCATTTGTCATGGTTACGGTATGCTATTCCAGAAAAACTGGAAGAAGGTTGGTACCAAAAATAAGTTTTTTACAAAAAAGTAGGTACAATATATTTATTGTTGAATGTTGAGACATTGAAATTTGTTATATTATGAAAAAAATCTCGGTTAAAGAAAGCTTGACTTGTATAGCTTCCCGATAAGTAAATCACGAGCATTGAACTACGGTACAGTTATTACATTCACCGTGATCGACAACGCCTGCAGCACTTTGAGCCTGGCTGCAATCTGCATGGCATGCTGGCAAGTGGCACCAAGTCTCTGTTTACAAAGTTTGAAAGTCCCGCCCTAGCAAAGGAACGCCGAATTTTTTACCATTACGTTCAATGCCTATTCCATTATATGTCTACAAAATCTAAATGATGTTTCAATACCTATTTTATAATCATTAATTTTTATATCAGGAATGCAATGCATTGATTTCATATACAAGTATGAAATTTTTGCAATTTCAATGCATTGATTAGCTAAATAGTATAGCGTTTATTAGGCCTGTCACAGATTCTTAACATCGCAGAACATCTACAGCTAGTTGCGGGCTCGAACTCGCAACTCACTGCTCCAATTCTGCTGTGCTTGACCGCCCGTCCTCCTTGAGGATTCTGATTTCTGAACTGAAGATTCTGACCAGAAACTGCGCACAGAGCTGGGATCGAACCCGCACCTCTCTGCTCCAATCTTGGTACTCTGAACACCGCTGGGTCACCCTGCCAAGTGCATTTTCATACTGAATATCATTCCATTGATGCTCCCTATCGTATTGATCAGTGAAATCCATTTGCCGTGGTTTATTTTTTTTTTCTCTCGAGCACAACTACCTACTTCTGAGGAAATTCTGAAAATATTATTCCCAAAATATCTCAATTACAACGAGGTATTGAATATTAATATTTAGATGTGTTAATTAACCTAACAAAGACTGTATGGGTAAATTAATGGCATGGTATTGAATGATTGGTGATAGTTAGTTAGTTAGTTGTTTAGTGGCCATATGTACATTTGTTACTAAATTTGTTTGTTACTAGCGCTTCAGCTATTTAGCTATCTCGCACCGAAAGTCATGTTGAACATCACCAAAGAGGGGGAAGGTCTCAATTATCAAAAGTTTCTCAAATCAAAAATAGGTCATCACCCACAAGGGGCGGAAGGTCTCTTATGTCCAGATCGCTGAAGCTGGCTCGAAAGAAGCAGCGTTAGCATCTCAAAGAGACGAAGTGACAAGGAGGGACAGGTGAAAAGTAACAGAAACGAAGACACAAGAGGTAGCTTACACGGGACGTCGGCCACCCGCACGAGAGAGACAGAGAAGGGAAATGTAAGGAATCCTACCTACATAATAACTTAACCCCACAACTGAGACCTGCAGTCAGGCACCGCGAGCTCAGCGGTGGGGCGCTCAGGAACAGTCCCCCTAGGAGCGCGAAATCCCATAGGACATCTGTGATTGGTGATAGCATAACTATAATAAAATAAATTATTCATTGAAGCATATTGATTCCAAAATTTTTCAGTTTACTAATGTAAAACATGTCTGGTAACGGCCAAATAATATGAGCAATCGGCTTGGTTTTAATGCTGCAATTCTTGCGGCCAGTTAATTGGACGATTCAACGGTGCAACGGACGAATGCTCCAATTTTTGAATTAATCAGATCGACTTCTTCAAGTGTGCAGACATCCAGTTATAAGAACCTCGCCCATATGATGCCAATATAAATAATAAATTTTGGCTTTCACGTATATCATGCGGCGCTATAAAATAACGGAAATTCCCTCCATCGTCCCGAAATCACAGTCTGACGATAAATTGATTGCTCAAGAGAAATTCTCCCGGTTGGCAATTCACCCTGCAATAAATTTATTCAGGTAAGTGATGGAAGTGTTCTCGATAAAATACTATATTGCAGATATAACGCGTCATAAAAAGAATTGCTCAGTTGTTTCAGGATTGTTTTCGTTTTACTTAAAAAATTAGCAATTTCAGCTATACCTAGAAATAGAAAATTCACAGATGATCTAAGCAACAATTCGTTGCATCAATGGAGTGATATTTGATAAATTCAATCCAGTCCCCAATAAGGTTCCAAGGTTCATAACATCCTTGTCCGAGTATGTTGACAAACGATGTGCAAATGTAGATGCTATCGAATTAATTTCCGACAAAATGACCTATGTGAGCTGTTATATTATCTCTCCAGTCGTTACAAGTGCTACTATGAACTATCCGTCAATTTAACTAGCGAATTGAGCGACGAGTTCGATGGCCCGGCGATATTGAAAGACGATGACACGCGCCCATCTCGACGCTCGCCCGCCGTTGTGTTGTCCATCTCTCCACTAGGTAGGATTACCGGACACACTCAAGCATGAAGTGTGTCACGTGGCCGGGAATTTTTTAGAACCAGGAGCTGGTTCCTAGGAAAATGCTCACGGGCCGATGACGTTCGACTATCGTGGGGAAAAAGCTGCGCAGGCCTTTCCCGCATTATCGCCAGTCGAAGGATATAGAAACTACACCCATAACCATGTCACTTCTAAATTCACCGGAGGAAAACTGCCACTTCCACGAGTGACACCAACACCAGTGCATCCATTGATGTTTAATTTTGAATTGGATAGAATGTTAATTACTCTCCATCCAATTCAAATTGTCCCAATTTTATAACCGAAAATATGCAATGGTATCCAATTCAAATCCAATTCCCCAAAACTATGAAGAATGAACTTTAAATAAAAATCGTATAACCACTGGCTAAATTGCATAGATAGTAATGAGTGAAATGCGTTGCCAGGACTTCTTGAAAGCCTAATGGTACCATAAGGGACAGAACTATCTTGCTGCATGGACAAATGAAAAAGTAAAGTAGGTACATTTGCACAATAATTTCGCAAATAAGAATGATACTTGTAAAATTTCAATAATTATTGCACAGTAAATTCAAGTCTAAAATAAAACATGGTCAAAACCACTTCAAAGAATAAATAAACATAAAAATTTGAATGAAATAAATAAGTAATAAAAAAATCATAAAAATACTCTTTACAATGTAAAAGTTCTTGTGCACAATGCGTACTTTAAGCATGTGTAGGCTGAAGCGAAGCTAGAAGACCATCTCTCATAGAGATGCAATTTCGAGAACTAGTGTACGCGAGAATAATAGCAAGATGAATGGCACACCGTTGACAAAGCTATGATGACAATGTTCGGCTGAAAAACGCTTTAAAAACATCAATACTACGTCTTATTACATTTAATATCAAATGGGCGCAAGGAAGATTTTTGAGAATGACAAAATTTCGGAGACGAAGAATTTGCCATCTCAGTAATTAGTATGCTCTGAGTCTGTTGAACACTCAATAGAGAGTAAGCTTCTAAAGAGGTTTCCATCATGTTCGTTGTTGATGCAAAACTTGACGCGACCAGATTTACTCAGGTTAATAATGAAAAATTCCTGTTGCGATTCCTAACGGGAAACACATGAAATTTGTTAAATAATAATAACAAATTGCTATCTGTTGGAAAACTAAACCGAGCGAAAATAAAATTTTTCCAACATTCACAACCTTTCTCTTAACATCACAACCTGCCTTGTTTGAAATTCGCTGCGTTTTGTTCATCTAGAGAAACAATTCCAAATCAACAAACATTGTGGGAAAAAATATCCGTCAACTGGTCGAGGAGCATAACTAGTGTTCTTCATTGGGAAAATCTACAAACAATTTACTAAAGAAGAAAGATTACGAAGAAACAGACGGAATGAAGGCTGGAGCAGACAGTGGGCTGATGACGACTTGCAGCTTGAGGGAGTCGCATGGAGGGAGCAGGTACTGAGCTGCCACCTGCCCATCAGTTACCAAGAGTAAAGCAATCTAAGAGTCATAATCTGGTTACATGCAATAATATATGAGCACACCTGGGAGCGAAGAGTAATTTAGGAGAGAGAGTGCAAGGTAACGATTCTTAGATCAAGATTATGTTAACTACTATTGAGCAGAGCATATTTAAAGTGATTTCAATCATCACAAGTATTCACAGCAATTATGTAAAGGGGAACGGAATCCTACCACACGAATAAAAATTGTAAGATGTTTAAAAAAATCGTTAAAATACCAATCTATTTGCTTTAATTACAGTAACAATGGTCAAGCAGCAGACATCATCAACGCAATGCTAGATCATCAAAAACATTTTGTAACCGCCAAAACAGATCAGGCAATAATATATCTTATTTGATTAGCTGTTAAACTTGATATTCTAAAACCGACGATGAATACCGTTCAGGACCGGTCTCAATACCGTTCAGCACCGGTCTCAATACCGTTCAGGACCGGTCTCAATACCGTTCAGGACCGGTCTCAATCGTTCTCCCTACACCTTGAATTATCAAGAAAATCTCAAGGTAGAATATAACGATAATAAAACAATGCGGGCCTCTGTGTTCACCTTAGGGTCGTTGAGAGAATCAAATGGCAAGATATCGTCCATGTTGAGGAGGCAGTCGTCAGGGGAGAAGATGTGGTTCTTGGTGACGACGTGCGAGACGAATTCGACGCCGTTACTATATGCCGATACGAGTACAGCCAGCCTGTGCACGCAATAGCAGCTTTAGTTATTCCGAAGTGACGCTAACAGAACTGGTTCTTGTCTGCCTCCCGTAGAGGCCTATTATACAGCAGCTATGGTCATAATGGAGGGACAAACCTAAACTTCAGCAAAGACTATGAAAAGAGCTACACTTACACGAGATGAGCAAACTTATCATTGTTAAAACGCAGCGAGAAGAATAAACATTTAACCTAAGATATATTTTTAATGATTTTCTACATATCAACATAGAGTAATTTCTCTAGTTATTTGTTGCTAAATATTTTGCCAGACAACGAGTGCTATCCTGCAAGTAGGCTTGTGCCAGAAGTGGGAGAAGCCTTTTTGAGAGACTGATTGATTTCCGTCGTAAACTTTATGGTTAAAAAGTAATTACATCTCGGCGGAGATCCGTCATTGGACTAGTTCAATGGACAGCAATCGAGCAGCATCATGTTACTGAACTATCTAGCCAGAATATTTTCAATATATAAAATGTCCATCTCGTCTTGGTCACTGACGCTCAACAGGATCTGTGATCCATAACAACAAACAAGATATCCATATCCCAGTTTACATTAGATGTATTCCCCATTCATGAGCACATAGGAACCGTGGCAAATATATTCTTCTAGCAGACGGGGGATTTGGTGTTACAAACTTAGCATGATCTTGGAACAATTGAGGATAACACTATCACAACCATCACCCCGTCACCATTAACAACATAACAACCACGAAAACCACTATATCACATGCACCACCAACATCATCACAACCACTAAAAATATCATCATGACAAGCACCGCCACCATCATCAAGACAAGCAACATCACCACCATCATCAAGACAAGCAACATCACCACCATCATCAAGACAGGCAAGTACCATCACAACCAAGACAAGCACCATCGTCAACACCATCAAGACAAGCACCACCGCCATCAAGACAAGCACCACCACCGCCATCAAGACAAGCACCACCGCCATCAAGACAAGCACCACCACCATCAAGACAAGCACCACCTCCAAGACAAGCACCACCATCAAGACAAGCACCACCATCAAGACAAGAACCACCATCAAGACAAGCACCACCATCAAGATAAGCACCGCCATCATCAAGACAAGCACCACCATCAAGACAAGCACCACCGCCATCAAGACAAGCACCACCATCAAGACAAGCACCGCCATCATCAAGACAAGCACCGCCATCAAGACAAGCACCATCATCAAGACAAGCACCGCCATCAAGACAAGCACCATCATCAAGACAAGCACCACCGCCATCAAGACAAGCACCACCATCAAGACAAGCACCGCCATCAAGACAAGCACCACCATCAAGACAGGTACCGCCATCAAGACAAGCCGTCAGTATGACTGAGCGGCAAGACTCACCGCACTCTGGGACTGGGGGCAGGAGCAGAGGAGCCCTTGTCGGGGGCGGCGACGGCGTTGGCGGTGTTGTGGGTGATGCTCAGACGCACCGTCCGGAGAATCACTTCGGGCACTTCAACAGTTCCTTGCCACACGATCAGAAAATACTTGCGGAACCACACACCCTACAAAAAACACGTTTTTGTTATTCTATACAGATTACTACTTGTATATTAAACAAATGCAACATTAGAAACGTTAGTTCCACGAAACATAAGATCGGTTCCCGATCGAGAAGGAACATTAATTCCTTCCCGATCTTACCATCCTCCCAAGATACTAATATGCTTTCAGGAAGGCCCCGTGTTAGAAAATATATTTGCTGGAAATACCTTCAACTGAAATGTGAACACGGAAAAAGGGTGAAGGATGTAGATTTACAGATCCCAGAATTTGTTATAAATCCTTTGACTGTCGAAGCTGTCATCCACGAGGATGCAAAAAGGGTAAGGATTCCTTCCCTTTACCACCCTATGCTGTGCTGGTGCGTCAAAAATAGGGAGGATTTCGCCAAAGACAACTATCGTTGAACTGAACAAAACGATTTGGAAAAACACACAGCGGAGGTAGCACCAAAGCTACACTCTCACAACGAATGACGATGTCCACCGCACGGCAGGCCCTACGAGCGCAGGGACAACAGGACAATGCTCTGGGGACAATGCTCTTTCCAACACCGTTGGAAAGAGCGGTGATGAGCTGAAAATTATGAGCAGGGATGAGCTGAGTCCAATGAGTATCAGAGAGGACTAAGTAAATCAACCAATCATTTGGGACAGAGAAGCACGAGGCGGGCAAGAGGTCAGACTCGGTGCTTTTCAGCGCATTTCCTCATTTATGAAAAAAATGCACTATTGTGCTCGCCATGTCCGTCTGTCTGTCCGTCCGTGACTTCATGTTTTCGTCGACGAGAAAATGCGCTCTCTGTCATATGATGCAAATGCGCTATATTTTTTAGACATGAGGGAGCAAATGAAACACCAGATGCATCAGTTAGAACTGATAAAATTCCAGAACGAGCTCCTGGTCCAGAGATTCCTGGCAGAGCGGTGTCGCTGCAGGTAAGAACACCTGGCATTCTGCTGGCCAACATCGAGGGGCTCTACCACGAAGAGCGCGTCATAAGATTGGCTTGCTGAAAGAGATGGCCGACGAGGGCGGGATCTTGATGATTGCACTAACTGAGTCGCATAAGAAAATATATCCTTGATGCCGAAATTGCAATGGAAGGATTCCAACATTATCGTGCGGACAGAATGGGAGGGAGGAAGAAGGGAGGAGTAATTGTTTACCTTAGAAACTCCCTCGCAAAAAGTACGGGGGAATTGAGATCGAAATCTGGAAACTCGGAGTGATTTGTTGAACATGTACTACTCCACACTAAATATCTCGACTTCTGCATAGCTATAGTGTATAGACCACCTGCTTGTCCGTCGGTAAATTTTAACGAAATCCTCTAGGAACTGGAAGATCCTTCCTCTAACCTGATAATGGGAGAGAGAGCCTTCAGCCTACCACGTATCCCTTGGACAAACCCAGAAGGGTTTGGACGGTGAAGGCCACGACAAAAGTCAGGAAGAAAAACTAGCGCAGTTTGCTGAGGAACACTTAATAAGTCAGCAGATACGGGTGCCAACAAGGGAGCACAATATCCTTAATCCCTTCTTTACTAACAATGAAAGAATGGTGGTCGAGTTTGATTGGAAAAGACTTCACAGTCTGACAACTGTCTGGTGATCGAGGATAGGACAATTGGAATTGAAAATCAGCTCAGGTGAATACTCCAAGAGGGACTGGCAGGACTTGACTTTCACGATCAAAGAACAGACTGGGAGGCAATTAGAAACGAAGTAGCAGATATTGATTGAGGACCGGATTTTCGGGAGAAGAATTCAGATGAAATTTACACAAAACTTGGCGAGAATCTAGCGCAGGAATGTGTACGTCATACTCCGATGAGAAGGGGCCCTAAAGTTTGCAGCATTCCGAGACACCGACGAATCCTCATGTGAAAACGAACACGATCAAATAAACAAATAGCTAACTGCACTAGTGATATGAGAAGACAGAGACAAGTAGATTTTCACAAGAAAACCGAACTCAGGTTGCAGGACTCGCACAGGATGGAAGAACAAACTGCCGAGGAACGAATGATTAAGGTCATCAGAGATTATCCCAGGTTTTTTTCAAATACGCCCAGTCCAAGGCCAAAATAAAGACGCCAGCGGGCCCGCTGAAGGATAACGATGCCCTCATTGCAGATGATCAGGGCATGTGTACGAGTTACCGAGAGCGCAGTTTGAATCAGTGTTTAGTAACCCCCGCTACTCTAGACAGGAGACTGAAATTGAAGTCCTCCAGGAGCTTCCAGATGGAGGGGGCTGGGGGTGGAGTTCCGGCAGTATTGCTAAAGAAGTGTGTCGGAGATTAAACATCAATGAAAAAACCGCTCACAATGCTCTCAAAAACCTCGTTGATGCAGAGAATTGTTCCTGAGGGCCTGAAAGTGGGACTGATAACACCAATCCACAACGGAGGTCCGAGGGACAGACCCCAAAATTAGACCTGCGACCTTAACCTCACAGGTGATCAAGGTATTTGCGAAGGTAGTGGCCAGAAGGCTTGCTAAGTGTTTGGAAGAGGCCAAACTGTATAGTAACGATCAATATGGTTTCCGGCGAAATTGTTCCTGTTTGTCGCAGTTATTAGAGTACCATCATCGCCTTGTGGCCCTACAAGAGAGAGCTGGCGTAGACGTGGTATACCTGGACTTTGCTAAAGCCTTTGACAAAGTTGACCATGGGGTGCTCTTTAAAAAGCTGAGGCTGTTGGGGGTCGGAGGAAGCCTGTTGAGGTGGATCCACAGCTTCCTTACAGATAGAGTACGAGCTGTCGCAATTGTAAACTTGAAATCGAGAGAAGCGAAGGTGAAAAACGGAGTGCCTCAAGGTTCTATGCTCGGACCGATCTTCTTCCTCATCCTCATTGCCGACATCGACTCCTAACTTACCCACTCATGTACATCGTCATTTGCAGATGATACGAGTGTGCTAATGAGGATCACCGACGACCTAGACTGCAAGAGGCTACAGGATGACTCGTCAACAATCTATGATTGGGACCTAGTGAATAATATGCAATTCAAAAGCACAAAGTTCGAAGTAATGAGATAGAGAGTTGGCACAGAGATCAGGATGCCACATCTCTACTTGACATCAGATGGCACAGAAATTGAAGAGGAGCAGCTTGTTCGAGATCTCGGAGTGTTGATGAGTACTGAAGCCACGTTCAATGATCAAATCTAGGAAATTGCACGAGGCAGACAACGGATGGGGTGGATCTGGTGGATATTCCGAACGAGAAGCAGCACCAATGATTACGCTCTTCAGAGCCCTCGTGCTCTCCGATATTGAGTATTGCTGTCACATTTGGGCGCCGGTAACAGCGGGCGCGGTGCGGAGACTGGAGTCATTCCAGCGGACCTTCACGTCCAGATTCAGCGGTATGAAAGAGATGGTACTGAACTACTGGGGAAGGCTGAAGCACCTGGGGCTGTTCTCACTGGATAGAAGAGAGAGGCATATCATACTGTACACTTGGAAGATAATAACCGGTCTTGCTCACAAATTTGAATGCGAGACCTCCAAAATAGTGACGTATTACAACAAAAGGAGGGGAAACTATGCAGGATTCCTCCATTTAATAACCGAGCTGCGGCCAGAGTGCAGACTCTTCGTGAGGGATCACTGTCCGTGACAGGACCGAGGCTGTTCTATGCCCCGCCTAAAGTGCTGATAGGAGGAGAATTCACCTTTGCGACATTCAAGAGTCGACTCAGCAAGTGGCAAGCAACTGCATTTTGCATCAGATGGCCCACACGAGGGCAAGGGAAGATAGACGGAACACGTTCAACGTTAACTCCGCGACCCGAGGGCTGGGCGACCTGCCTATCGACGACTTGGAGATGGAAGAGATGACGAAGGCGGCGCATCCGCACGACCGTGGACTAGGAAGTCCTGAACTCGTCATAAGATTAACGAGTGCAACTTGAACACAAACGACTCAGCGCTCTGAATGGCAAAGGACATATGCAAGTGTACACAATCAGAAATTGAATGAGTCATATTGTCCAAATAGTAACGCACTTTCTTACCCACAGTGCGAACAGAGAGTGGACGTAACACTGATTTGCCTAGTTGAGAGGCCAAACTGTGTCAAACATAGACAAAAGGTGCGCCACTTTCAAGGACCAAGTACTAATCATTTCACTTGTTGCATATTTGATGCCAGCGTTGAGCGCAAAGCAGAGGCGCCAAGAATCTACCTTGGGGTAGAGCTCGACGATCCACTCGAGGCGCTCGTCGTTCTGTTGCTCAGACACGGACGCCGGCGTGCTGAAGAAGAGGGTGCGGCTGTGGTAGGGCGGCAGTGCAGGCAGGTTGTCTACGGTGAGACCAGCGCTCCAGAGCTCCGCGGTGTACAAGCGAGGGACGAACATTAGTCGTAGGGACTCGTCTTTGCACTCCATTACTTCGCTCAGACGCCACCATTCGCCTGTACACGCACAGATTTACATTTATCTTCATACTAAATAATGGTAAACAGTTCTTTAAATTCAGAAATAGCACGCTTAGTCCTTGTTCACCTCAAATTCCCATTTTCATACATGAAAACTATACATGCATTATTTGAAAGAATCATTTAAAATGAAAAATGTCAAACATGCCAATAATTAAAAACCCCATATAACACATTGGTCGATAAATATTTGACGGTGGGCGGCCGAGGCTGTTACAGAATTTAGACAACCACAATTACTGCAGGAGGGGCCACCTGTGGCTCGATAAAGCGTGTCATTTTACTGAAGGTCAAGGTCGTGGTCTGGAAGGTCAAGGCCTGTGTCTGAAAGGCCGAGGTCGAAGTGTGAACTTGTAATAGATGCGGAGTGCTCGCTCCACTGAGCTGGATTAAATCAGCAGCGAAGGAAATCCTGCTCACCAGATTGGAAGTTGACGCCCACGGCCATGCGTGTGATGAAGAACTCCTTGTACTGGATGGTGAGCGGCAGGGGCAACAGGTGAGCGATCTGCCGCGGCGTCATCATAGGGAACCGTACGAACGACATCACCTGAAATAATGTAACCTTATTTAGACAAATTCATGGACACTTAGAAGACGTTTCTATGAAGCTGTGTTGCGCCAGCAGTAGCTCTTCTCGCCAGTGTAAGTAAAGATTAATCATACAGCATAGAATAGCAGCAAAGCTTTACTGATTTCCGTTATTGTTTTTTGGCCTAATTTATGAGAAATAGATGAATATCTTTAGTTATTCTGGTACAATGAGAGAAAGTACCAACGACCAAAGGTATAACAAATTCTCAAAAATTTATAAGCAATCACTAATCTTGTTGTCAAAGTATAACACAAGTCCACATCACACAGTGATTAGGAAATAGTTTTATTTCCAACGTTCAACATCCACTAGGGTGATTCAAATCTGTCACATGCCTTATAAGTGAGAGTTTCTATTTGCTGTGCGATATCGTCGTCAATAGAAGCATCGTGTACGAGAGGAGACGAGCAGCGCAGGTACAACATCCCCGTGTAAGGCTGAGATGACGACGAGTTGTGTGCAGCCCCTGTGGACTTGTGACGACTAGTCGAGAATGGCGGGAAATACGACCCTGATGCACCTCCAACGGATTCATCAGAAGTATTGCAGTTCAGCGATGGAAGAATTGGGGGGAAACTGTGTCCACGATGGGCAGTGCAATCCAATTGTGTCCACGAACTGCAGCAGCCATGACTGCTTTGTGAACGACCACAATGGTTTGCATGTAAATTTTGGCACACATGGCAAGGACTACAGAAACACGTATGGGCGAGATTGGAAGACGAAGCATTAAATGAGTGTAAGGGGCAATTTTGTGTCCCGGGAGACGCTGACATGTTAGAGCAGCAACAACGAGTCCCGGCAAAGCGACTTCGCGGCATTGCACAAGAGGGAATATTATTGAACGATATCCCATGATTTGCACGCCAGCAGGGAGAGGAGACACTACATGAACACACCGAAGGCCCGCCTCCAGCATGGCTTGCGTGAGGACACATCCTTGAAGAACCGGCATCAAAGCAACCTTGATTGCAGTCTCTAGACACGCCTCCACACGAGGGCCTGCCATGGGATTGTTTTCCTGGTGTGCCACTATTTAAGTGGTCTTTTTTATACAGTGACTTTTCTAATGAGAAATTGGATGGTGAGGACTGGCTAGATTCTTCCTTTATTTCTTCTTTCAATTGCAGCTTAGGGTGTAGCTTAACTAAAGGAGGCTGAATGAGGCAGGATGGAGGCGCGGGGGATGCGCAGTGACTGCTCGCAGCAGAATCAGATTCCGCCAGTAATCGATGTTTTTGCATCTCCAACCACTGGACCAAATACCTGAACAAGTAGAATAAGTTTATAATGCACACAGTGGAATAACCATCAAAACAAACTTGACTTCCTATAATTCAAGCAATTCACAAATTAAAGAATTTTAAGTAATCAACTTGAAAGCACCTATGTTATAAAACTTTAAAATAGAGAGAATCTGTTATCTGCAGGTTATTCATTTTGTAGCAGACTTGATAGTGGCCAGACACGCACATGTACAAGGTCATCTCATCATGCACAACCAAGTCATGCTGAGCCAAAACGCTCGTCAGGAGTCCCACATCGCAGTTCAAGAAATCTGACGTCCGTGCAACCTGAGAGGGATTTTCGGAGTTACATAATTATATACCTATGTACATATATTGTACCGTAAAATGGGGTAACTTAGACCACTTTTTATTTTATAAATGATGCCATTTTTTTACTAGCTAAATTAAACTTGAATTGAAACATGCAAAATACAGGTCTATACTCTAGCTTCACTCACCATAAATTGCTGGCTCTTGCCTCTCATAAGCCCATTGACAAAATTTTTCTATGTCAAATAGTTTTTGAGTTGTGGGGGTTTTTGTTAAAAAAACGAAAAGTGGTCTAAGTTACCCCGCCGGTCTAAGTTACCCCATTTTACGGTAGTTAAAACAAGCTGGTAGTTTAGCACAGAAATTATTTGTCTACAAATGATTGAAAAAATAATTCATAAACAAACTTCCTATTCATCTCAATTCATTCTGTATTTTCAAGCTGTATCACAACCCTTTGCCAATGAAAAAATAATGTACAATGAGAATTTTACTCACTCTCTGGATATAGTGCGACCTTGTATACAAGTTAAAATTTAATATATACCTGCTCAAAGTTCCACTTGAAATGATTGAGACAAGCTGTAGCTGCAGCAGTGTGCTGTGACGCCAAGCAGTACTGCAGCCACGAGAGCAGAAAATTGTGCTCAGCAGCTGATACCACATGTTGCTTCATGTACGACCCACATACAACACGCAAGTCCTGCACACATGTCAGTGATGTCAGGGACTGTAGACAGGCAGCACCTCATAGTTTCAAAGAAGTTTTGATTTTACACAGCTAAAATAAATAGCAGACTTAAAATAAGCCTTGACTTGTTTGTTTTAGTCTCTAATTGCTTGCTTGGAAGACATTTTATAAATTACATGAAATCACAAGAAGACTTTATTTTGAGCTAATGAAAATATTAGAACTAACTACGCAAAACAAGAAACACATAAATTTGATGAACAATTTCAGAATAATTTAGATGCTTAGACATTTATACAATTTTCAACAAGCTACTGAGCTTTTCAAGAGTTTTTCAAAGATTTGAATCATTTGATCATAGCAATGCATGTGATATATACCTGAACATTATATTTATCAGCAAGAGCAAGTATTGGGAGAACTGTTGCATCAGTCAGCACAACACGCCCAGTGTAGAGGTACTGCAGAAACGTTCCAAACTGCTGTTCACACTCTTCAGCTTCATGCAGAACCACGACTTGTTCACAGCTCTCGGACCACTCAGGTTTGAGTAACATAACCTTGAAAATAAATAGAAATCTAGGTTACAATGTATGAAAAATAGTATCAAATAATTGACCAGGAAAATTCAGCTGCTATAAACCAACAGGAAACTAGGGTTAGATGGAAAAAATTGGGAAATTATTATTACCTGGAAAACAGCTGATGAAGCACAGAGTATGAGCCGGTGAGCTGGGTATTCCTGCAGTCCAACTTTCAGAATGACATCACTCAGGAGTCGGTTACAGTACAGGTTGCTGATCTTATTCAGAACACTCTCGCAGTTGTTAATCTGTAAGATTATTGGATTTAAGGATCAGATGTTTGATGGGAACTTCAAATCTCTGCACAAAATGGCACCACATTATAGCACCTATTCCCAGTGCATGGAGGCAATGTGATTATGCATCTGCCACTACCTGTTCATTTAACAAAAATTATTAGTATCGATTTTAATTATCAGCACAGGCATAAAAAAATTCATGCTCTTTCAACATTTAATAATTTCTAGAATAAAAAATCACTCTGAAGAACATCATTAACTTGATGCTATTGCATATTATAGCAGTTATTTGGTTCCACACAAAATTCACAGATTAAAGTGATGAATTTTTCAATTGAGTTTTGTACTCCAACATATCAAATTTTGAAAAGCTCATCAATAAGTATGTTATTTTATTTGTCGCAATAGGTGGAACTAACAATCATAAGTTTTTCCTTGTTTAATTGTATGCCCGCAAAGAAGATTTGATATTATATTAGAGCTACTAACCGACGATTGTGGAGAACCTGACATGGTGCTTTGTAGGCATGAGGAATCACATGTGCATTGATGTCAAAGTCAATAGACAGCAGCAATCACACAACCCTGTAAGTAGGTATAGGCTGCCCAAACAAAGCATTCTTTAAGTAAGTGCAGAACCAGTTAAAAAAGTATAACTAAAAATGTTTTTCAGACAGTAGATTTTATATTTAGAGGTTCATGTGAAAAAAGACAATTTATTGACATAAGATAGCACAAGTGTTTTAATCATTTTTTTTTCACTTTAATTCTCTCTAGCAAGCTCACTGCAAATTTTGAGCACAATTGAAAAGCATAAATTTGTCAAATCAAAAGCAATGAAGAGCTAATTGAAATGGAAGTGATTTATTGACATTATGCGCGTGGGAGAGAGGTCAGAATTTTTGTCCACTTTATTTTCACATAGGTTCTCCGCTTGAGTATGAAATCTAAAATAATAACCAATCATCGTTAGTGATTTGCATTTATACACTTGCACATTAATTGCGTACAAGCTGAGATCATGAACATTAGGGAATGTTCATCATTTCATGTGAATTGATTTGTGGTAAAGTTACTGGAAAAAACATTGAACACCTTGAATTTAGTCCTAGTGGATGAAGATGTTTTACGGGTTTACACAATCTGATTTTAAAAGCGGAGGCTGATTTCAATTGTTTTCCAATCAGGAATAAAATTTAGTGTATGAATTGTGGTTTGGTGTTCATAACTATTTGGCATGTGAGTAGGCCAGGGCGCAGAGGGTGGATGCAGCGTCGCCAATATATGGGTTTTTAAGCCCTAAGCGTCGCCGGGTAATTTTAAGATGTGTCGCCGGGTAATTTTTAATGAAAAGCCATTTACACTGAGTAATGAAAAACTATTTGCAAGCCACGAACTTATTTACAAGGTTGCATGCACATGTTACACCAAATAACTAATTTTACCCTAAAAACAGTCTGATTGTACAGCAAGTGTCAACTGAACATGTAATAATGAAGTCTGACCGCTCTAATGTGAGTGACCACAACTACGTAATCGTAAGCTTGATGTTTACATTTTTTTGGCGGGAGCTCATTGCAACTGATTTCCGGACAAGCTTCACTGCATCCTGATCCATCCAACATATCGGAAACCTTACTTTTTTTCAAATAGTTGGCCGAAGACTGACAAATATATTAAATGCAAGAATTTCAATCTAAATGTGTCAGCAAGATCTTCTGAAGGCATAAATTTTGCTACTGAAGCGTTGCCAAAGATCTTGCAATATTCATCCACTCTCTGCACAGTGGTGAGTAGGTGATGTGTTTTGAAGAACAAAATTTTTGAGATTTTTTTGCCAGCATTAATAGCAGCATACCATCATGCTAGATAACAGGTAAATGTTTTATGCGTTATTTGCAGCCAAATAACATCACATGGTTCCTGGGAATGGGATAACCTATGTTTTTACTAGAAGAATGAATTGAATTGTTACAGAATGAGAAAATAAAAAGCATTGAATGCAAAGCATTGCTATATGGAAGTATCACTGCATTGATAAAAATATAACTGGCAGTGGCTGCTGTGCTGACTGTCCCAGCAAGGAAGCCAACCCTTGTCCACAAGGTGATGCTAGCCTATAAAGTAGGCCAGTAAAGTATATCAATCATAATCACTAAATGGCGCTGTTGTGGTGGGCGCTATGAGACTGTGTGTCAAAAGCCGTGAAGATGCCTGGCTGCGTTACGCTTGGGAAGGTATATGAATCACACTGTGGACGTGGGCTATGCTGACCTCGGGTCAGCAGAGCCAAAGTCCACAGTGCGATTCATATACCTTCCCTAGCGTAATGCAGGCACGCAGCCAGGCATCTTCATGGCTTTTGACACAAAGTACCCACCACAACAGCGCAGTTCATTCACAGGCCGGAGCGCAGCAGGCCCTACGGCAACAGCTACTCCTAACGTAACCTGCGTCGCCTGTTGCGCTCCGGCGCTGTGAAGCAGTGGCTGTGACCTGTGTTGTCAGTCTTGTCACTGTTGTGCACAGCGGATTTACTGTTAGCCGGAGTTACCCACAGCTCATTGATCTGAGGCTATGTGTAGATATTGCATGCTGATGGTTGGCGTTAGGCGCCTTAGGCCCAGTGCCTGTTTATGAGTCAATTTTCAATTTTGTTACCCACGGCTGTGCTCCCCTAAGTCCTAACCTCTAGCCATGGTTGAACCGTTGAACTAGTAGTTCAACCATGACCTCTAGGCTCTAGCTATTGGGATGCATGCCAGGCAGCCAGAAGGCAGAAGCCAGTGTTGCCCAAGACCAGCATATTTTTCATCCTCCTCTCCGTGCGTAAGCCTGCTAAAGGGCAGAGTAGACTAAGGGATTATATGTTAAAAGCCAAAGGTAGTAGTTAAGGTACAAATCCCCTTCATGGAAATTAACCAGCAAGCTAATGAGAAGCAAGCCACCAATACAATCCCTCTAGTCTCTATGCCGTATTTAAAACCGTCCATTTGTCCAACAGCTCTATGCCATGCCGTCTAACTCTAACCTCCTCACAATTTTTGGTAAGCAACTCCCTACGCCATACCACTGTTGATATACAGCTAGCACTCCACTGACTCCAGCCCGTCCGTTTGTCGCAGCTGTTTTCCCCCGGCATAACTCTACCTCCACGCTTACCCTGTCTCCCTGCCTTTTTTCACAGACTGCCAGACGGCTTTTCTTAGTTTCTGCTTACTTGACAAGTTGACTGCATTATGCTATGAAAAGAGGATCTATACGAGTTGTAAACTAACTTAACCTAACCTAATTCGGATGAGCATCAAAGGTCTGCAAGAAAAGCCTCCAGTTAGCCATGCGATAATGGTGGGGAGTCGGGGTAAGTGTGGCTTGTGGGGGGAAGACATAGTGGCAAAGCAGAGAGTTTTTTAGACTCTCCCTCAAGTTCATTTTTGAACCCTATAAGTAGACCAGTAAAGTATCCTGGGACCTGGATACCAGCATTATCATACATAAGAAATTGGTTTTAAATCTTGGGTAAATGAGGAAATTAAAAATGAATTGATTCTAAAAGATCTCTAGTTTGTCACTATGGGGGAAGAAGATGCTGGGGGATAGTAAGGCAGGGAAACAGTGTCGCTGGACGCTGGGTTCACCGCCGTTCACGTCTTGCGGAATGCGGAGGAAGTAAGGACTGTAAGGTCACTAAGGTGATGACGCATTTCGCATTACCGGCGTTTGGTACGGTTCACATTTGCGGCAATGCAGTGTGGTCAGCGGACACTTAGGATAACAGCATGTGTAAGAAGTGATGGGTGTGATGGTATGGGTTAGCCTAGTATAAAGTATAAAGCATTGGAAAACAACACGGTCTTGACCGTTAACTATTTGGAGTAGCAGCTTGTGTGCTGGCAGCTGGAGTAGTGTTGGTTTAAAGTTCGTGTGGTGAGATAGGTCAATTGACTACAGCTGCTTAGGTGCCAGGATGACAATATCTATAGCATTTAGATGGTTGATGTTGGCTCCAGGGCTGATTTGAGCGACTGAGCGTTAATTTGCTGGTCTACGGCTGCGCTGTCAGCCTGCGCACCCTAGCTATCCACCCCAAATGCGGTACTGACAAGGACGGACAAAAACCTACAAATCTAACTTCCGCATTTCTAAACTTAAAACAAAAATACTAAATTTGAATTTCCTAACAATGCTTGACTCATTTGGTAGCACATTGTGGAGTGTTGGTCTATGCGGTGGACCTGTATAAATATTTGCTGGAGACAACAATGACTGTTATCGTAACCATGATTGAACTATATAATTTTGACCGGGACGCCTGTTGGAGACCACCACTGCCGTGCTTCGAATGGAATTTCATGATCCCTTCCCTGAAGAACGTAGCCAACAACACATCTTGACTGTAAGGTTATCAGCCGCACGCCACCAGGCAGATCACATCCATTGAATTAGATCAATCAGCCCACAGGAAAATAAGCCTGGCGTCGTATGGCCCAGCGTCGTCTGCCAAGGGAGCGCAGCCGTGCACCACCAATTTTGTGCACCAATAAGCCCTGAATCGAACGCATTGGATCTCTCCGGATATCCACCAATCAGCCGTGCACCACTCGGCTTTGTCCTCCTCCGGCCTCGACCACCACCAGCTGTGCACCACCAGGCCGCGGATCGAATCTGACTTTCGGGCATCGTTAAATTACGTAATTTTACGTTCACCGCATCTGGGGTTAGGTTCCAGATAGCATAGTTCTGTTCCAAAATTTATCGTCCTTCGACAAGTGGCATTTCGACCGAGGGCTGGTTCGACCCACGGCCTAGATACGGACGGCTTGAAGTGTTGAAGGCTACGTTCCGGAAGGCAGGAATCATGATGGTCCATTACATCCAGGGCAGTTGTGGTCTTCGGCAGGCGACCCGTCTGCCAACACGCGAAAAAAATTTACACCACCCGGACGGAGCGCGCTGGATCCGCCCGTATCTGTCCCGTGTGTCGAATCAGCCCACGGTCGAACGGCCACGCGTCGTACGACGATAAATTTTGGAACAGAACTATGCTATCTGGAACCTAACCCCAGATTCTGTGAGCTAAAAGTTACGTAATTTAGCGAAGCTGCGGAAGTCACTCTCCGGCGGACGATAGAGTTTGGAACAGAACTATGCTTTCTGAAACCTAACCCAGGATGTTGAGCTAAAAGTGACGGTCTGGTGGTGCACGGCAGGATGCATACAGTTCCACTGGCGACCTGGGCTGGTTGGTCGCAGCTTAATATTCTTGCGTTTGGTAAGCGCAATAATATTGAGCGTTTATTGACCATATTTTATGGTTGCGCAAGCACGTTCAAATATGTTCAAATATATTGTACTAGCCGCCATGGGATGAATTTTATGAAGTTAAGATTTTTAGTAAAAATTAATTGCGTTTGGTGTTTATTGTTGTAACCGCATTTAATTTATTGGATATTTATATTTGCTACTTCTTTAATACGTCTAAGTTCTCCCCATTCTAGCACTTTTCGCAACACCATCTTATGAGCGCATAATAAATCTATTTCATTTCTGCATACCGCCAATAATCCTCAATTTTCGGCATATAACAAAGAATATTATGCAAATTAACATATAACATGAGAGCATTATTGTTTGAACAATTCGAATGCGTAGTGAATTTAATACATTGCTAATA